AACTGTCTGGTCATAGAATGATAGAACTTCTTAGGTCCATTTTTTTGCTCTTTAAAATTTTGAAAAAAAAAAGCGTAATTTATTGCTTTACAATTTAATGATAACTTGTTTTTTTTGTACAACTGAGAATCAAGCTTCTGATCATCATTGAAATTGTCGTCGTTGTCACCACAAAGATCATTATTTTGGTTGTGGTTACTGCTGTCTGCGTGTGTTTCTGGTTAGTTGACCGTCATTAAGACAGGTCTATCAGACAATATTAGTTATCATTTTAGTAATCGCTGTTTTAACTGACAAGCAACAGCAATCTGATCTTCTGTTCTGTTACAGAACTCTAAACTCAACTAAGTCTTTGTTGATCCTATTGTCAGGTTCTATACCTGAAGATGTATTTTCGTTGTTGTTTTTCGGAAGCAGCAGCGGCAACAACAGCAGCTGCAGTAATTATTATTATTATTGTTATTAAATGTTAGACTTTAGTATCAAATTTAGTTATTATATGTTACTAAATTATTTAAACTCTTTTTCTGTTGCTTCTTTTAATTTTAAAGTAAAATTTTTTCTTTTCTTTTTTCAGCTGATAACTTAATTTGAAGAGGAAAAGAAAGAAAATTTATTTATATAATTTTTTTCTTTGCATGTTCTCAAGCACATCTTTTTTTTTTTTGCAGATAGTAAACTAAACTTAAGCAAAATAATGGCAACAAATAAATGGCCTCGAAATGTTTAGTAAAGAGTAAACAGTGATTTCGGGCTGATTATTGTCTTTGCTTATTTTGTTTTTAAATTAGTTTAAAAAAAAAACAATCTTTTTAAATGTTTTTTTGCGTTTTAATTGTGTTTTGAAGCTACTGGCATTTAGTTGTTCTTCAAAATGTATCATCATAGATCGTATTAGAATTTTTGACATATATATATATATATATATATATATATATATATATTGAATTATTATTTTTAGCTGAATAATGAGAGGCAAACTTTTTTCCCGGTGACGGTTACGATTATAAAAAAATTTTCCACTTTTAATCACTGATATATACTGTTAAAGTACTGTTAAAGATACATAATTATGTTTATAATAATTATAATAAATAATTTTTGTTTTATACTGAAAACTTGTTATTTCTCATTCTTGGTTTTTTTTTTTTTTTGCTTTTCTTGTTTTCAATTTTTTTTAACTAACTTTTACAGCCAAGTTAATTGAAGAAAAATGAAAGAAAAGAAGAAGTAGTGTTTACGTCAGAAAAAAGAGTAGGTTCAAATAAATGCCTCTAATTTTTTTTGTTGCTTTAACTTTCGAAAAGGTTAAGCGAATACGATTAAACATAATTTACTGCTGTCGTCAGATACAACATATGATAAGTTGTTTTGGTGTTTTTTTTTTTAGTTTTGCTGAGTGGGGAGAATACTAAAGTAGGTAATTCTAAACTATGTTAATTGTTGCTAAAAGGGTGCGAAAAAAAAAAGAATTTTGAAAAAGGATGACAACGTTTCAAAAAGTATTGGTATAGGGAAATTTGATTGATAAACAAGTTTTATTGTTTCATACGCTGATTTCTGTTTAGTTGTTTTTGGTTTCTGTTCTATTATCGTTGGCAAATCCCAGCCATATCTGGTTCCTGATAAAAAATTTCGTCTCGTGATTTGTTCGTCAATCGTTGTCATCGTTGTACATCAATGTATCTGTATCTGCAACAAATCTGTAGCATCATCTGTATGGTAGAAACGTCAAATAGAAACGCATCAGACAATTTTTGTTTAGCATTTTCAAAAGCATTTTGTTATTAATTATCGTTGAAACTTAACTTTCGTCTTCTTACTTGTTTTATCTTCTTTCGTTTTTTTCTTCTTCTTTTTCTTTGCTTTTCTTGCTTTGCTTTAATATCCACATAAGAAATTCGTTTTATGTTGGTTATTGTTCTTTTCCCTGCTTTTCTTTCCCAAGAGTTTTTTTCCTCAACCAAAAAAAAAAAAACAAAAAAAATTAATAATTATTTAGAATACGTTGTTTTTTTTTTACTTTATCAAAATTCTAATGGTTTATTAAAGATGTTCTGCTGTATTTCGCTAATGCTGTGGTTGTTGTTGCTCAATTTGAAATTGGCAAGAAAAAAGCAAATTTGTAGACTGTGATAAGCTAAACATATATTTCATTTTTTTAAAGATCTAATTTTATCAAAATAAGTCTATTTTAATCAAAAAAATGTAATTTTTGGGGGGAGTTTATTTTGCTTTTGTTGTTACAGTTGGTCATACGGAACAAACTGAATCGTTGTTAATTGATTTGGAGAATAACCGCCGAGAAAGCAGAATGACTGTTAATAAAAAAAGTCTATTTAAAAGCCTACAAAGTTATCCATCCTCTGTTTTTTATATTCTTGGCAATGAATTCTGTGAACGATTCAGCTTTTACGGTATGAAAGCCATACTGACACTGTATTTGATCAACGAACATCATTATAAAGAAAAGTAAGTATGTACATTTCAAGCAGCAGTTTAAGCACTGCTTCTATTTTATAATGTTCAACCAAACAAAAGAAACAAAAACAGGAAATTTGAGGAACGGTTGATTGATAACAATGGTTAACATAGTTAAATTAAATGCTGAGAATGAGTAGCAAGTAGATTAATTGTAAATTATTCAATTTTACCTGATCAAGTGCTATTTGTAAGCGTAATAAATGCAAATAATACACTACGTAATTGTTTCCAGCCAAGCTTCGCTGTTCTATCATGCCTTCGTATCTTTGGCTTATGCATCACCACTCCTCGGTTCAATTGCTGCAGACAACTTTTTTGGTCGATTCCATGTAATTTTTTGGGGTTCCCTAATCTATGTAGCTGGTCATATCCTATTATCGTTTGGTGCTGTTCCATTATTTGCATATGGACTACGAACAACATTGGATTTTAGTGGACTATTTGTGATTGCAATTGCAACCGGTGCGATTAAACCGTGTGTATCGGCATTTGCAGCTGATCAGGTAAACCGATTATCACTGCAAAGCTGACAGTTTTTTTTTTTTATTTTACCATTACCAACAATGGTACTTGGCAAAAATATGCTCAATAAGATTAAATTTACATTTTTTTTTTCCAAATCAAATCCGCTCCAAACAGCTTTGGAAATTTTTGCTTAGTAATCGGGCGATAATACAGTCTTTCCGTGTTCCACTTTATTGTTTTACTTATCAGAACAAATAAGCATTTGGTCAAAATTAGCACTTACTGTTTCTCGTCCTTTTGTTGCAACAACGATAGATTTATTAGTCTCTGAAACAAACAGGAAAATAAAATGTGTTCCAAAAGTTTAATTAAATTTAATCAATCAAAAAAATTTTTTTTTTGAAAAATAAAGTGCAATTCTTGATTTTATTATTTTAATCTTAGAGTTTAGCATTTAGTAAAAAAAAAAAACACTTGCATGGTAGACTGAATAACAGCAA